TATATTATTTTTAAGCCAATGAAAAAAGCGTTCTAACTTCTTTAAATCAGTCTGGGTTATTTTTAAATTTGTAATGGACCCAAATCTGTAACATTTCTTAATCACACACTACAGTTGCTTTGCAAGAGATGTATTTCTTTGGAGGGATAAGATACTTTCCAGTGCTGCTAATCAACATGTCTAGTCATCTGTTAGTGTAGAAGCTTAAGTTAGTCGGCATTGTAATGGAAAGTTCTATGACAATATTATTGTCAAATCAAAAACAATTGTTATTTTTGTTGCTTTTCTTTGGATCATATTATACTTGTTTTGAAAACGGGAATCATCATCTTTAATTTTTTTTAATTACATAGGGGAAGGAGAAGCTGCTAGCTAGTTACATAAAGTGAACTGGATCATTTAAAGTGTTGAGCATATTTGGTATTTTAGTGGGTTTAATGAATCAGTCATTATTCTAAAGTATGTATTTTGAAAGTAACATTTTGAAGCAAAAATCAGCAATAAGAAAATAATAATTGGTGCTTTTTATTTATTACAGGTTACTTAGAAAGTTCCCATTGCACCTCTCAGGAAGTAAATTGGATCTGAACATTCTTCTGTTTGATAATATGAAACAAAAGGAATAATGCATATGGATTTAAAATTACTGTATTTATTAGGTTGTTATGGTTTGAGAAGCACTGGGAAAATAACTCACTCTGTTACTCATCATAGATCTACTAAAAATTATTTCTGATGCAGCTGAGAAAAATGCAGACCATTAAAAAGGAACAGGCACCCGTTGATACAAGTAGCAATGTGGAGAAAATCATGGTACTTAATTCCACTTTAACAGAAGTGTCTGAAGACTTGACTACAAATGAAGACATAATACTTAATGAAGGAAATAGTGGAAAAAACAAATCTTCATCCTGTCGTAGAAAGCGGGAATTCATTCCAGATGAAAAGAAAGATGCTATGTATTGGGAAAAAAGACGAAAAAATAATGAAGCTGCCAAAAGGTCTCGTGAAAAACGACGACTGAATGACCTTGTCTTAGAGAACAAACTAATTGCATTAGGAGAAGAGAATGCCACCTTAAAGGCTGAGCTGCTTTCATTGAAACTAAAGTTTGGTTTAATTAGCTCTGCAGCATATGCCCAAGAGATACAGAAGCTCAGTAATTCAACAGCTATGTATTTCCAGGACTATCAAACTTCCAAATCAAATATTAATTCATTTGTGGATGAACATGAACCATCTGTGGTGGGCAGTAGTTGTATTTCTGTCATCAAACACTCTCCACAAAGCTCTTTGTCTGATGTGTCTGAAGTATCCTCAGTAGAGCGTACTCAAGCAAGTCCTATACAGAACAATTGCAGAAGTCCAGAAAATAAATTTCAAGTTATAAAGCAGGAGCCTATGGAATTGGAGAACTTTGCAAGAGAGTCAAGAGATGACAGAGGCTCCTATCCAGCATCCATATTTCCAAACTACATGGTAAGAAACTTTAATGGGTACTCACATTCCCCTCCTCTGCTACAAGTGAATAGGTCATCCAGCAATTCTCCAAGAACTTCAGAAACTGATGATGTCGTTGTAGGAAAATCATCCGATGGAGAAGATGAACAGCAGGTCCCTAAAGGTCCAATTCATTCCCCAGTTGAACTTAAAAATGTTCACGCAACAGTGAAAGTTCCAGAGGTGAACTCTTCTGCACTGCCTCATAAGCTTCGAATTAAGGCCAAAGCCATGCAAATCAAAGTGGAAGCGATGGAAAATGACTATGATGCCACACAGAAACTGTCATCACCAATTGACATGACATCTAAAAGACATTTTGAGCTTGAAAAGCACAATGCGCAAAATTTGGAGCATTCTTCTCACACTCCTTTCTCTGTTCAAGTGACTAATATCCAAGACTGGTCTCTCAAACCAGAACACTGGCACCCAAAGGAACTCAATGTACAAATTCAGAGTGGTTGCAAAACTGGAGTTATTGAAATTAAAGACAATGTCTATAAAGTATCTGAGTCAGAGAACTTGTATTTGAAGCAGGGCATAGCAAACTTATCTGCAGAGGTTGCTTCGCTTAAAAGACTTATAAGTACACAACAAATCTCTGCTTCAGACTCTGGTTAAATTACTACTGAATAACGCTTATTGTTTTAAAGGCTGTCATTTGCAGTAGATCGATACGTTTTGTGTTACGTTGAATTTTCACTGGACTTGTGATGTCATTTCACTGTAATGTTCACATAATGTCTGATTGATGGTGTCTTTTTGTGCACAAATTATTATGAAGACTAGGTTGTGTTATGATCACTATGCCTTGTGTATAGACAAGTAGCCTGTATGAGGGCTGTATATAGTGAATCTTTTTTTTTCTTGTTGTTGTTCTATTATAAAGTGTGCAAGTTACCAGTTACAATAAAATATTGGTGACAAACACAGAACATCTACTCTAAATCAATTGATTGTGATAAACATGTAAATATTCTGTTAATGATCAAATAAGAAGTCTTCCAAAACATATTTTAATTTACTTCAGTCAGGTTTACAGCCTAACTAAACCAAATTGAAATGTATATACATGCATGGAAAAAATCCTAGGTCTTTCTTTTTTTTTTCTTAAGGATCTTTTATAAGGTGAACCGAAATTGGCATCAAGTACTAAAAAGTTAAAGATTGAACTTTCTTCCGTTATTTATTACAGTAGATATACCAAAATAATATCAAAAACATTTTTCTATTACTGTCCCAAATGTAATTGTTTCTGTCTCAATGTGTACTAAAAAGCCAGATATTGAGACATTTATTTTGAATAGCTTGAGTCTCCATATGAAATTAAGGTTATGGATCTTTGTAATTTGCAGAACCATGAAACTGGCATAATAGGTAAATCCTTCTGCAGTCCTTCTGCCCTTAATCAATGTTCCAGGCCTGAAATACAGTGGATTTGCATAATTTCTACTGGGTCGGTGTGGGGTAGGCTATCTACAAACAGACCATACAAAAGGATTCTGCATCTCCTGGATGTAGTAGTTCTATCCATAGCAGTATGGTGGAGAATTATGGCTTTGGTTAGTGACATTCATAGGTGAAAAACCCTTACAAAGCAGACTAGGGTATCACCAGTGGAATTGCTGGGTCCCAGCTGACACTTGGGTTCACATTTCAAGGCCAAATACAGTCAAAAGAATGAAATAAGGTTTATAAGAGATTCCCAGAAATGGTTAGCTCTAGATCTGGATGGAAATGGGTGAGGTGGAGTTCTAGAACAATTTTTTGATTGTTTGTTTAAAAATTGTCGGTTGAAATTTTCTGACCAGCTTTAGTGAGATGACAACAAATGCCCCTGTTTGCTGCATAAAGGGTGCGTCTAGACTGGCAAAAACTTGCCAGCTGTCTACACAGGCCGCTTTAATTTGCGCAAGAGCACTGACTTTGTAATGTACAAAATCAGTGCTTCTTGCACAAATACTTTCACGCTCCCGCTTGGGAAAAAGCCCTCTTGCACAAGAACACTTGTGCAAGAGGGCCAGTGTAGACAGGGAAGAATTGTTTTGCACAAAAAAGCCCCGATGGTTAAAATGGCGATTGGGGCTTTCTTGCGCAAAATCTCGTCTAGACTGGCCACGGATGCTTTTGCGCAAAAGCACTTTTTGCGCAAAAGCATCTGTGCCAATCTAAACACGCTTTTGCAGAAATACTTTTAATGGAAAAAGTTAAAAGTATTGCCGCAAAATCATGCCAGTCTAGACACAGCCCAAGAGTCTGGGTGAAATAAAGACAAAATACAGAGACTCAAACCTTGATCTTTGCATAGGCGCAACAAGTATTTCATGCTGTTTGGCTGGGCTAGAGGCAGTACTTTTTCTGCCATTAGGGTATGAAGACTTCATGCTAAATCATACTATCATTTTGGCTAGACAGAGTCTCACATTTTTAAACATTAAATAGCTTTTAAAGTATCATTTGAATTTGGCGGGGTTCTTTTTCTAAACGATTTGCCATCATTTAAAAAAGTATGAATAAACACAGCATGGTTTTCTAGTGAAAATCACGATTAATTGCCATGATCCACAGTGAGCCCTTTTTTAAGTGAGCATTGAGTTAAAATAAGTGGAGTCAGTAATATTAATGTCATACTTCACTAAGAATGATAGGCAGATTTAAATTAGTTGGAGGTCAGGGAAATATTGGCTGAAAAAGAAAGCCCGAAGCAACTTTTTATAGATGTGGACCCTGGATGAATTTCTGTGCCCAGCTAAAGTCAATGTCAGCACTCTCACTGACTGTAGTGGACCCAGGGTTTCACATTCTGTCTTTTCTGTGGCTGATGATGGACCATAGTTGTGTCCTACATGGGCTTTGACATGAGAGCAAACGGAGATTTTCCACATTTCTTTGCATCTACAAAGCCTGATAATTGCTGAATTGAAGCCATAGTATTCAGAGCTACTCAGAAGTACACCATTTTCTTCAGTCACCCATTGCTCTTATTTCATTTCCTAATAATTCAATATACACTATAGTTAGGATTTGTGTACCCTTGGCAAGTAAGAGAGGGAACATACTTCAACTTTCTGAAAATGAGTCCAGAATTATCACATATAACTAAAGGAACTGCAAGTGCCTGAACAGGATTGGAAACACTAGAAGATGATTGCTCTTAGCTGTTTGCTTGAAAAACATCTTCTGTGAGAAACCACAGAATACTTTAAATACTTTAGATATTATTTATCTCCTCAAATGTAATAAAATGTGTTCAAGGGAATGATTTAAAAGTTTGAGTATTGACATCTGTGTAAGCTGACTTACATCTTTAGCTAGTCATCTGTTTGGCTATTACAGTTAAAGTTGTCTTTTGTAATACATGAATACTGCCCTTCTTTCTAGATGGTTACATTTTTACACTATTTTGTATGCCTTTACAGGTTGAACCTCTCTGGTCTGGCAACATCCAGGCATAATTTTAGTTAGCCAGATGTCCACTTACAATGGGTGTGGCCAAGTTTCCTGTGGTCCCATAAAGTTTGTTTATAGCCACTAGTCCTGGTTCTCAGAAGACATTTAGGGGTAAATTAGAGCTAAATTAACAGCACAGAACACTAAGAGCCCAGTATGCAGTGGAAGCATTGGTAATGATCTAGACAATATTGACCTCCCGTGGTCTGGCAAATTCTCTAGTTTGTCAGCAGTCATGTCTCTAGGGTGCAGGACTAGAGGTTCAGCCTGTACTTTGTGCAAATACTGTCTGATAGTAATGATTATTGAGGAATCTCATTGGAAATCAACCGTAGCACCTGGGCTTAGCAACCAAATCTTGTGTTATATGTACTTTCCCATGCATCATAACTTTTGGCTTCCTTTAAAAGAGAAAAATAACATGTTGTTTGCTAAAATCTATGTACCAGCCCAGTGTATAGGCCCAGTCTGTAGGCATTATCTGATCAGCTCTGAAGGCAATGATAGATTTTTTTTTGGTAATATGAATAGTTTTGTGCATCTCACGTAACATTATGAGAGACAGGGGGAGAAGTGGTGTGCACATAGAGCTAGGTTCTCAATTCTGTCCCTTTTGCACCAGAATATGGCCAGAATTGGCCAAATGAGAACTCTCAACTGATGTAAAGCATAGCTAATTTCTATACCAACTTCCCTCCTCCATCAAAGGAGTATGTCAGGGGAAAAAAGGGGTTAATTTCTACAGGAGAAAGGCAGAGTGAAACTGCTCCCATACAGCAATTTGCAGCTGGCATATGGTCCCTTATGTCAGAGCTGGGAATGTTTGAGAATCAGGGAGTGCCTGACAGCCTTAATCCTACACTCCCTTTCTTGCACTGAATGCACAGACGAAAATCTGACCCACATTGAGAGTTGCAATGGCTGGTCCATTAATCCTCATGTTGGGGGTCTGAGGTCTTGTTTCTGCATGAACACCCTTAACTAAAAACAGAGCAAATCCTTGTATGGATGCCCTTATTTTGGTTTGAATGGCTTATTCCTCTTCCAAGTCAACTTAAACTAAACTGAATATCTTGGTTTAAACGGAAATAAGTGTCCCACACAGTCTCTTACACTAGTTTAATTATATTAATTTAAAAATCACACCTTTAGTTGAAACTGTGCAATCCTGTGAATAGACAAGCCCTGAGTTTGGTTTTAAGCTTAGGCTCATAGCCAAGACAATGTAAGAAGGAAGAGTGCTGTGTAGTGACTTCTTTGAACAATTCAAAGAGCAATAGTAATGAATGCTGAAGATGGATCCCTTCTCAGATAAAGAGGAAGAAGGTAACTTTGAGGACAAGTTTAGTTAAGGACTAAATGGATTGTTCCAATGTGCACAAAGCACTTTCAAAAACTGACTAATTTTAAAAAACCAAGAATGAATATTGTTATCTATGACCACATTTTATTGCTGGGCAAATAGCTCAGCCATGTAGTAGTAGGAATTTGTGTAGCAATACAAAGGAATTACAGTTTTGTATCCTAAGGTCCTGACAACAGTGGAATTCATTACAGTTACATGCATATTTACCTATAGAAATCTTAGTTCTGCAACTTTTTATTTAAGTTTGCTTTTCAGTAATAGTATTACTGCAAGATTTAAAACCCAATTTCCTTGGCATACATTGAACTGAAACACCATCACACCTACCATTTATGGTACATGTGTTGGGATGACCAGCGCTAAGCTTTTGAGTTGCAACTGAACACGACCACTGAAGAAACAAGATTTATTGATGTATAGTGGCATTTGAAACTTGTAAGTGGAAATATATGCAGATGCAATAATAATGACTAACACAGGACATACGTATAAATGATTATATATAGACCTATTGAAACCTCTTATTGAGGGGTGTGGGCATGTGAAGGCTTACACTGTTATTCTATCAGGATATATTGCATGAACAACACAGCATTGTGTGCTCTTGAACACTATCAAATCCAGTGGAAAATAGTTGCATCATAGAAGTTGATGCAAAGCCTTATTGTGGTTCAACTGACAAACTAATATCTTAGAATAACTGAAAATACCATAGAAAATGGTTTGTATAGCATTCTTTAAAATAAGAAAATTCACATTTGAAAATTAGAAACGTAATAGAATTATCAACAAAAGAATCCTTTAAATTGTTGCTTAGAAATTGCCACACCAGAAAAGACAATCAAGTCCAGTCTCTGATAGTTGCGAATACCACATGCTTCAGAGGAAGCTACAAGAAATCCTGACGAGGATAATTGTGGAATACCTACAGAAGGTAAGTTTCTTTTGACCCCCTCAGCTAGTGGTTGACTGATGCCCTGAAACAGCAGTACTCATTAGCCGTATACAAATTGGAATCCTCAGACCTTTTGGCCTCAATGAGGGTTAGGTATTCCACTGGTTAATTATATACTGTGTAACTATGTAGTTTCTTTTATTAGTTTTAAACTTGCTGCCTTTCAGTGTAGTTAAATATCTCATTGCTCTTGAATTAATGAAGAATATCTGATGTATCTTTATCATTTATTATTTTAGGTTTCTATCATGTCCCCTTTTACTTGTCTTCTGTGAAAATTAGTGAGTCCACAGATGGTGGTCTTAAAAGCACAGCATGCATCCTTCACTGACCTTAATCTGAATATAAATTTACAGTAGTACCTTAGCCTTATCAGTCTTTTTTTTTTAAAGTGACTATTACAGTTCAAAATACTTCAAATCATTTCTATTTCATAAAGTGACCATTACTTTTCAAAATACTTCAAATCATTTCTATTTCATGATTCAGTAACATGCTTTTGCAAATAGAAAACATCCCATGAACTGAAAGTGTGGCCTGCAAGACATTTTGTTTACCATTGCCCATGCTCATGGTTGCTGGATTCCAATATTTTCCATCCACATAGGTTTTATCTTTCTAGTATTACTAAAGTGACATGCACGTAAAACAGGGTCACATGAAGTGATGTATGTGCTGATTATCCACAACATAGCCTGCAAGAAGGGTCACACGAAGTGACGTATGTGCTGATTATCCACAACATAGCCTGCAAATTTTCCATCCACATAGGTTTTATCTTTCTAGTATTACTAAAGTGACATGCACATAAAACAGGGTCACACGAAGTGACGTATGTGCTGATTATCCACAACATAGCCTGCAAGAATCATGCGCTCCCTCTGCATGCAATTAAAGGCTGCTGCAGTTCATTTGGCACATCCTACAGATTCTAGGTACACAAGGGCAGTTAGCAAAATCCTATCCCAGAAGTCCACCTTGGTTCTGACAATCTTGTGGTCCCCTGAGCTGGAGGAGGGCCACTCATGCAGCCCATTCACTAACTTGGGCTGTCCATTGCTGATCTCCGAGAACACTGTTAAAGCATGGTTTTTATTAACTCCATATTGTTTTTAAAAATATTTTTACAGTTT